TTTATACTTTGAGCGCAAATGGCAATCTTGTGTGATTGGAGCTGCATTACGTGGTGAGAGGCCCACATTGGAGCTGCATTACGTGGTGAGAGGGTCACGGCATTCATTGTTCTTTAGCATTTAATCAGAGTCAAAATTATTTTTTTCCCCCGTTAAAAGAACGATATCGTGCCCTTTTTATTGCTTCGGTGGTTTAATTGCGCTGGATTAATCGTTTAGCTCTTACAGGACTTTTTTAAGAGTTTCAGGTGGATCGCGATAAGATTATAACAGAAACAATTAATTCTAACAAGTGCTTCCTTCTTTTGAATTCGTGTCCGCGTTCGCCGGTGGTTTCTGACCAGTTTCTACAGCCACCAGTAGCAACTTGAAAATCTTATCGAAAGTGACTGGGCAGTGTTCGCACTTGCCCTTATTGCTGGCTGCAGTCGTAAGTTAAAATGATAGGTTCCTCTTCATACGCAGTGGCACTCCGACGCTCTTTATTACATTACAGAGGGAGTATTTTACAATACAAATTTTACATGTTGTTTGCATCTGAAGAACACTGTGAGGATTTCAAATAGCTGTAAAGCAGTTACGACACTGTGTGAATATCATTAGAATTATTAAAGATTTTCAAACCAAAGCTTCATTTCAGCCTTCATTCCTGATGTTGGAGTCACTGGTTTATATAACTTCTCGCAAGCGAGACAAAGCGGTGCAAGTTGCTCTACGAAATACCTGCATTCTAAAGTGGATTATTGTAAAAAGTGAATTTTGTTTCTGAAAACACTGCTAAGATTGTTCATGAGGACTGTGGTGACATTTATGTTTAGCGGAATTATAGCATTTTGAGAATTTTACGCTCTTTTAAAAAATGAGCGCTCCTTTCTTTTTAGCGCTCAAATTTGGTATAGCTCACAGGAATATTTATAATCGTGGCGCTTCTCAGGTGTTAAGTAATGATACGTTTTATTAATAACCACAATTGCAGCGGACAGACTGATACACCGATTACACCATGTAAAAATAACGAATCAGGATATCATGTTTTCGTTGAAACTCCTCGAGAGATGCCTCCGTGTGCTCGAATCAGTATGTTTCTTGTCGAAATGTTTTCTATGCAATATATGGATTTCGGTTTACCAGCTGTATAGCTGACGATTTCCATTTGTTTTGTCCAGTGCTCAGCCGCTTGGTGATCAGCTTGCTGGCAGTCTTGACGTCCGCTTCATTTCCCAGAGAGTTGACGGACTTTGTGCTTTGCGAAAAAAAAAAGTACTTTGCAGGACGTTAGCTGTCATGAGATTCTTGGTGTCATCTGAACATCAGCACCCACCCCGAACGTATCAGTTTTTTATGCGTTTTGTGCTGTGTAACAGCAGTACAAAACGCATATTGTCAGGGGGTTGTCTGTGTGTGTATCTGTGTCTGGGTGTCCGAATGCGTTTTGTCTCGCATTTTCAATTCGGGAACCACGAAAGCTGGGAGGCTGAAATTTTGGTAAAATGTTTCTCGCCAACGTGTAACCCCGCAGACTTAAATTCGGCCTTCATTTACCCGCGAGTACCACGGATGACCCCGCAAAAGGTTTGGTTGGGAGAATTACTATCTCGGGGACTACGAAAGCTAGTAAGCTGAAATTTTTGCGGTAGTGTACGCTGCCCACATACAACCACTCGCAAATTTAAATTCAGCCTTCCCGCGCACTCGGGTATCACAGGCGGCCCCGTCAAAGTTTTGGTGAAGAAATTATTACCTCGAGAATCACAAAAGCCAGGAATCTAAGATTTTACGGTAATGTCCCCTACTCAGGTGCAACTCCACAGCTTTAAACTCAGCTCCCTCATAGGTCTGGGTGCCACGCACGATCTTGTGAAGGTTTTGATGGGGGAAGTTATTTTGGGAACCACGAAAGCTGGGAAGCCAAAATTTTAGGTTATTTTCCTCTGCCCACGTGCGATCTTACAAATTCAAATTCAGCTTTCACGCACACCTGGGTCTCAGCGTCCTTGTAAATGTTTTGGTGGGAAGAATTATTACCAGGAAGCCAGAAAAGATAGGGGGCTGAAGATTTCTGAAAGATGTTTTCTGCCTATGCAGTGAGCAAACAAATTCAGATTTAATTCCGAAGTATGCCGAGGTCTCAGGCACGACCATATAAAAGTTTTGGCTCGAAGATCACTCAAAAGCCAGAAAATTGGGGGTTGATTTTGGAAGTATATTTACTATACAGGGCTTTAGTGGGAAATTCCGTAACTTGGGAACAGGACAACATTTCTACTATTTTTGCACAAACCAAAATGCAAAGCATGAAATTCCTTAGCAAGCAAGCGTTCGTTGGACGGAACTGCGTAAAACGCATAATCGCGCGGGCTACCCTGGTGCACGCCGCTATTTATTTTGCATTTTATGCTGTGTAACAGCTGTGCAGATGCATATTATCACGCCCCTCTCTGTATTCAAGTGTGTTTGTGTGTCCGAATGCGTTTTATCCACACCTTTCAACTCGGAACCACAAAAGCTAGTAAGCTGAAATTTTAGAATGTTCCTCGCCCACAAGCTACCTCGCAAATTTATGTTCACCATCTTCGTACGCCTCGGTCTCACATAAGGCCTTGTGAAAGTTTTGTCGGGAAAATCATCTCGAAAACCCGGGAAGCAAGGAGGTTGAGATTTCAGAATGATGTTTTCTGCTTATGCTAGAACCTCACTAGCTCAAAATTAGCTCTTATACCCAAGTCTCACTTGTGGTCATGCGATACTCACTAACTCGAAAGCCAGGAAACTAGGAGTTTGGAATTTTGAAACGATTTTTCCGGCTCATTTGCGATCCAAAGGTTTCAAATTCGGCCTTCACTTACACTTACGTTTGCTGTGTGCAGGAATAGTCAATGTTGTCTGATTTCGCAGCTTCAAAATC